AGAGAAATTTGTTGACTGTACCCCTTGCAGAATAAATATTTTATGTTTTACTTACCTGATTATTCCATCCTTGGTATAATGACCCCCAAGTTTAATGACTGTAATCTATCAGAAACAACTAAGAAGTTCAGACTTGCATTTCCTTGTAAAATTATAATTTTCTCCTTTCGTATTTCATTTGGATCTTTTCACAATATTCATAATATTCATTTTTCTTGTGCCTAAACACTAAATTAATTATGACTATATTCATGACATTTTGATACTCTAATGCAAGTTAATTGGAATTAACTTATTAATTCTACTTATAATAAATGTAGGAAAATGAATTATTTCTTGTAAAGGCTTTCTTCTATTTCATTAGTTTCTAGTTTTTTAATATTGTCATGCTCTGTTTGGAATATCTTGCTATATCTAACTAACTTCACCACATAAATTTAAGTATACTTTTTAATACCATGCCTTGTATCTCTGTTTACTTGGAAAACCTACATACAGTTCTCCTTTTGATATTCTTTCATTAATTATTTTTACTGATACAAACTCCTCAAACTCCTCAACATTCCATAGTATGCTGACTGGATAAAAAAAGAGAAATTGTTAGTATAGCTATAGCAACGAAAAATGGGTAGTAGAAGTGCAGTTTATGGCATGAAAACATGGTTTTGATAATACCGCACACTAACGATAGCGACATACAGCTATTCAAAAGACATAATTGCACCTAGAGCCCTGCTACTGGAATTACATCGATTCCAAGCAGCATGGTATTTTTGACCTAAAATTCTTGTCCAAAATGCCTGCTCCAGAGAAGTATTATCTGCCATTCCTCAATGAGAAAAAGTTGAAGGAATAAGAAATTATTACTTAAAGTTGAAAACCTACCTAAGCTCTACTTATTGTTCTGAAGCAAAGATTAATACTCCTATGTACTGCCAAGTAAGGTCATTTTGCAGGGTATTTATTACTAATGCCTTTTTTTTTTGGCCTTTCCTACAGTTGCAATGCAGGTCCAAGATTTATACTGAATAATTGAGAGGAAAGATCATCCATGAAACCGCACAACAATTCACAATTAATTGTCACTAAACCCCCACAATAATACAAAGTAAGAGATGTTTAACGGTGCTTTTTTGGGAAAGCTTTGCTCATTCACCTTCAAAGTTTCGAATTAAAACTTTGTCCAGCGTCACAAATACGTACATGACAATATACAAAATTTTGAAATAAGGTTGAAGTAAACATCAGGGCAGTAGCGGTCTTAGCACTAGGAAGCCATCGCATCTCTTGGTAAAATAAACTCCCAAGGGTTTAACATGCCATCGTGGTGCTATGCCAAATAGCAGCTCTTCAGCCTAGTGCAAGGTCAAAGCTGCTCACTCCACAGTACACCAGGAGCCAACATAAACACCAGGCTTGCAAAGCAGAACCTCTAATCTGCAAACTGAAAAGATGCGCCTGTGGAAATCTGATACAAGCCCCAAAATAGCCAAGCGACTACAAAGGGGAATATGTGGAATATATGCACAATTTGCTACAAAAAGACATAGTAAACATTGCTGGTTTGGGCAGTGGCAACTTTTTATTAGCAGAAGGACACTCCTCAGGGTAGTATCAGTTACGTGATGACAACAATCAGGTCATTTTTAAGGTTGCAGTCAGATTGCGTTATAAAGTCACACTTTGATCACTTCTGTTTTGCAGAAAGGAAACTGGCCTAAAATCAAGAGAATTAAAGGCAAGAGAGAAGTTTTTTCCCTACAGTATGGCAAATAACACAAACATCTGTTCTTAGTTATCGAACATTATAGAAAAACATGACACAAAAGAGAGATTTTGGTCTGCCTTCGCATTTTATACCCTGGTAACATGAAAATTGCCATGCTGCTTCATCTACATTAGTCCTGCATGCCCATATCTGATAACATACTATCAAGATTCTAAGTTCTCTTTTTGGAAAAAAATTACATGACAAATATGTTTCATTTCAAGTCATCTATGCAAGAAAAATACGGGGTCACAAACTGACGGCAAAATTCTGACTTCAGTAGGCCCAGATTTCACCCCCAAAGCATACTGAGATGTGTGGAGTCTTACTCATTATCAGTGCCTTCAGCAAGGCCAAGACTGGGGACATCAGTAAGATTAAAAAAAGCAAAAACCAAAAAAACCCCCAGAACAACGATGACAGTAACAAACAAAAACAACCCTCAAACTCTAGACCCCCATCAACTTACGCCATGCACCAAACCGTGCCAAAACCCAGCAAATATCGAAATAGCCAGTACCATGAGCATGGAGGATGCTGGAAAGGAGAGAGGGAATCAAGATGCCTTTATATTTAAGGGCAGCATTATGAGACTCATGGCTCCTGGATTTTACTTTCAGAAGAAACAACTCTGCTCATGTTTTCTTGCAAAGAGGATTATTGCCATAAATCATCCTGAGGGTGTATGTCCTAAGAGATACCAGACATTGCTAAGTCTCTATGAAAGTCCTCTCCAGTTTGTAGAAAATGGACAGTTGTCTATATTGCAGGGTTCTTTTAATTCCCAGTTAACTTTGCCAGGATTTTTTTAAATAACAGTCAACTCACAAACTGCATTTTATCAACAAACTTTAATTCTTAAAGATGTCTTAGGGATCAAGCAAACAAAGTCCCATTTTTTCCAGTTGTTCTTAGTAAGCTCTCCTTTTTCTCTTCATCTCAGAAAATTAGTGTTGGAGAAATTATTTTTGTGTCTTACTGAGAAATCACTGTTTCTCATCCACGGTAATTTGCATTCAGAAAACTATGCAGCAGAATACAGCTGACTTGCCCATGGAAAAAGAACATCTCCGGTATTGCTTTCCATCAAATTGATATGATTTCCTGAACATGTCATTCTTCACTCACATAATTACCTTTTGAAATAAATCAGATGAAGTGTTGTCTTTTCCTCCCAACAAATAGAAAAGTTATATGAACAGAATGTTATAGAACTGGAAGTGAAACAATACGAACATTTGAAAAAAAATCAGTGAGTCTTTTTCAATACTTGCTTTATGAATGCTTTCTGAGTGTTTAATCATTGTTTCACAATGTAGTTACAAGATATGAAATCAATGGGATATTTTAGTTAAAAATCAAAACCTTACAAAACCCAAACGAGGTACTAATAGACACATGCTTTCCTCTTAAAAACACTGAAAAACTTAATGAAAACGATATTTGAAAATTAAGGTGGAAATATAATCTAGATTTAATAATGTAGTTTTGCCTGTATATGCCAGCTACCGTCATAAAAGCTGTGCAAATTTATGCCAGGTCTGAATAAAAAAAGCAATGTGGAAATTCCATACCCGTTACACTCCAGTTACAGAGCAGAGCAATTTTTTGCTTGCTTTGGAATAACGAACGAAATAACTGACAGTTCTAAATAATAATTTTCTACTGTGATCCCAATGAAAAAAATGGGTAACCTTTCTTTTTTTGAAAAAGTATACGCTGCAGTACATCGCAGCTTCCTACCAGTATTCTGATGGACCTTAGAGGCCAACAGCACAGATGTCAAGGAGGCCCTGCAAGGTCAGAACCCACATTAAATAGAAGCAGAACCGGAAAGGACACTTGGGCACACAGTAGCCTAAATAAAAGGGAAGACTTTTCTGGACCAAGAGTCCTTCTAACAAGGCTGAGAACAGAATTCCTTCAGACAGGAATTCCCCATCCTTTTCTTCTGCTCCAGAAGCTGTTGATGCTGTTGTTTCTACAGTTACCATCACACTATCACCATTTTCTTTATTCTAAAAAAATTTTCTGCATAGCTGTACAGACACCTATTCACAGGATATGCTCTTAAGAAGCACAATGAGATGTGAAAGATGAGGGAGGTTTCTTTTTTCTCTTGAAGTAAAGACCACAAAAAAATGGACACTATTCTGTGCATTAATAGAATCCATAGCTTCAGCTTCCTCTTAAAACAGATGGCACAGTCACCCCAGCAAGTATTCCCTCCTCTGAAAAACTGTAATATAAAAGCCAAGGTGTCTGGCAGGGCTATACAGTTAAATGGTAATACATCCTGGTAATACAGTTTGAGAGCACACAGAATAAAAACATGTTCACCTGGCAACTAGCAGAACGAGACCCACATTTCCACTACAAACACTTGCTCACTATGTGGCAATACTAAGCAAAAGAGAATTGCAAACACAACAGCAGGGAGTACCAGCATAGGCAACTGTGTCCCGGCCTGTGAAATATTTTTTATTTTCACATTGAAATATACTAATCATATGAGAACTTTATGCAGAACAGACCACAGTGGTATCTTATCAAACTATCCTCCCAGTTTAGACAAGTAATAACCAATTACTCGGTTTACTCTGACTTATGCTGATTACTGCCTATTCCCTCCTCCTTTTAGCAAACAATTTTCTCAGTTGTTATTTTGGGAAGATGCATTTCCTGTGAACAGATGTCATTAGACTTAACTGAAATACTATTGAAGAACTACATTGTAACTGGGATAAGAAAGCCTAAGACTTCTGTTTTTACTGTGCAAAAATTCCATTATTATTCTACCATATTTCCAGAGTATTTGACATTTCAATATATCCAGCAGACAGGATTGTTACTCATTGCCTTTGCTATTGTTCAAAAGAACTTTGTGCTATTAATTTTAATTTTTACAGTACTGTAAGCATGCAGCCTGATGTTAAATGCCTTTGCACTCAAAATTTCCATCCATTTAGCATCCATTAAAAGGAAACAGAACATCAAGCAGAAGAGGAACACTGGTTTGCTTTCCAGAAAACCATAAAATAATTCCAAACAAGAATCAATTGGCCATTATTTAAGAAACAGAAATTTTTCATCTGCAAAACAGACATTTACTGAGTTTTTCTTTGCTATTTCATTTCGCTAATTCATATCCCTGCTTTTTTCACAGTTAAAGCAAAATAGAACGCGCTGTGTTCTAAAGGTAACAGGACAAAATAACTTCATATTTTCTTACCTTTGCATTATAGGGAATATAATGCTTTGATAAGGCTTCAGGAGTGTGCATCCATGTTTTGTCTACAGAAAAGCAAAATAAAAGAAGCACTGAATAGGTTATTCAATTGTTCATTTAACCATTAGAGTATTTGTCTGGAAAACATCAACAAGCCTTCTTTTACTCAGGTAAGTATCTGTCTGAAGTAGTTACTGGGGCTGGAGGGAAAGGCAGCAAATCTCACAACTTCCCAAGCATTTACATGAAAGAATCTGGTTATTTCACTTGGGCACACTTCACATTTTATTGGACTTGATTTACCATAAGAATTCGAACCCCTCCCTCCAAATACATTTATGGGTGTAAGGTTGTTTGCTGTTTCTGCCTCAGATCAGGATTTTCTGCATCCTGCTGTTGCTGTTCAAAGCACTGTCTGCATGGTGCACCTTTAATGATCTCTTTTGATGATTTATGTGCCTTTTTTGATGAATTATGCAGACAGTAAGGGCACAAAGGAAATTATTCTGGAAAAACTATCAGAGCAATAACTAACAGAAAAAAGCCCTAATCCTTCTACAAGAAAATATAAGCAAGTTGGATTGTGGTAACTGATTCAGAAGTCTCTACCATCTTTAATCTTTCCTTAGATATCCTAAATGAATTTGCATGTTTTCCTTTAATGATTTTCACATCACAAGACTGCACTATTGTCTTACTTTTCCTGCTGCACGCATGTTTCATATGGTGAAATCACGAGTTCACTATTTGTGAAATACATCTTCCCTCCTTTTTAATGGCCATTTAGAATTGTCTACATAACTTCAGGTGCAATTCCAAACATTAGAAAAAACTTTTTTTTTTTTTAGAGTATTTCACAAAAAAACCCTTAAGATGTTCCAAAATACTAAATTGTATTACCGACCACATGACAGATTCTATAACAGAGTGCTACTTTATACGCTGCACATTCAATATTTAGTAGCATTTTCTAACATGAGACTACTCCTGTTTTAATTAGCATCAATTAAAGTCACAAATCTCGAACTTTATTGAATTAAGTAACAGAATAATAGCTTAAAGCAAAATTCTACCCTTGGATATTCACAGGCAATTCCCTTTGCTTTCAAAGGGAGTTGCAATTATAGCAATTACTAACTTTTTTGTTAGTTTCATGTAAGAACAAACTCCTGTTCACTTCAAACTGTTCAAGAGCAATAGCTGTGTTATTTATTGACACTAAACCAATAACCAAATATTTCTGAATATACAGATGCAAGAAAGCTGTTGAAACAAGATATTCGCCACAGTCAACACAGTAAGGGGATCAAAAGTGCAAAGCTGGAGGAAATTTTTTTCATGAAGCAAATTTCATTCTAGATGACAGTAATGTTCAGCTCCATTACAGAAGAGTGATATTATCATTTCTTAATTAAGGAAGCATGATTTGTCAATTCAGTGGCACCCAGGAGTACGATTACGCGCTGCAGCGGCTCTTCCTTTCCACTGGGGCTTGTGATTGGAATACCAGAACCCAGAACCACACTCCCAGAATATTTTAAGACCTGAAAACTGATCTCTGTTTTGTCTACAATATCAAAATGTTATCCACCAGTAAAAAAATAACCATCGGGGTGAATTAGGAAGGTTAGAATAGAACCTGAGAACACTGACGGGGCTTGAGGGCACGCCTCAGGCACCAAGGAAGCTGGCATGGCAGGCAGTACTGCTCCCTGCCCCATCACGCTTGCTGCAGCACCGCAAAGACCAGCACAGGGCAAATTTCAACTCTGAAATACGCATTCACATTGATAATGACAGTGTTTTGTTCACCCATTTCTCACACTTCAGCTGCTGACAAAATGTAATAAAAATGCTCCAAAATAAAACACTGGATGTCTAAAAATAACAACTAAAAAATCCAAACCAAGCAGTCTGCCACTCATTTCAGTGCCAAGTACTAGCAACAAACAAGCAATAGCGCTGTAGCTTCTACAGCATTTTTACAGGCAGTTGACTACACAGGTACCAGTAAAACTAAATATTCCTTCCAAATGTTTCCTCCTCCCTTCTTCCCAGCCCCAAGGCAGGGCCAGGGCAAGTTCAAATCGGAAAAAAAGTTGTTTAATGTGGGAGCCAAATTTAAAATGCTAGTCTTAATTATGCAGCTAGTAATCTTTCCAACATTATAATTAGGTACAAAGCTTTACCTTCAACCTTTTTCATGAAGTCATCCACTTGCTTACCAACCTCAAACTGTAACACTTTCGGGATTCCAGCAAGGAAAAGCACTGTTAGGAAAGTGTTCCCGTAAGTGCCGGTAGCCCTAGTTAGGGAAAGTTAAGGAAATATGGACAGGGACTCTCAGCTCAAAAGGAAATCAGTAACTTAGCAGGGTGCCAAAAAGATGGTGGGATTCTACGAGTCCTGTGCCACTGATCAAAACAGTGAGCCAGCACGCAGCATTTCCAGCACCCAGCTGTAAATCTGCAGGCACGGTGACAAGGGTATTAAGAGTTTTCCATTGACGCCGGAAGCCCACTTCCCAGAGGCAGGTAATAATTAGAGTGGTGGCACTTTTGAAAGACCTCTTAACACTAAACAAAATCAATACGAGACAAAGTTCACATTGATAGCAAAGACATGAAAAAATCATGCAAGCTGTTACAAGGAAGCTTGTTACCAGCAGCTCTTTCCAAATTATAGATTCTGACATTGGACTTAGGCCACTCTCTGCCGCTGTTTGAAATATTTAGATTATTCATTCTGAAGCAACAAACAAAATATGAAATCCCACAATGAAAATCACAGTTCATATTATTATTTTATTAGTTCTATAGCAGCAAGAGTTCAAGACACTTCATAGATAAATAAAACAGCAAGTCCTAAAGCAAGGACCAAAAGCCTAGATAAAACCAAAACTGACAACTGCACACATCTAACGTAACAGTCGTAGAAAGTGAAAAGAGACTCGTGCTGTCACACCAGATGAAAACTACAGTTATTTTAGATCGTCTGAAGCTCTTCACCTAGGTTGCCTTACATTCACATCAAAGCCTAAACAAGTGCCCAGTTACTTTTGGAGAATTATGAGTTTGACCCACCCAGAGTCCACTAACACCTAAGCAGAGTTTAGCCTGAAGGAGGTATGAGAGATTCTCAGAGCTAACAGCCTAAGTGTGCGGTGGTTTTGCCAAAGCCACTGGCACTGTGTGGGAGAAAAGATGGGAAAAAGGATCACTGTTCAGAATTCGAGGGCATGGGGTAAGCCACAGCCCTGATTAAAGAGAGTTCGTAACCCCATAGCCTCCACGCAACTCCTCCTCACATGCAGCTATTAGTGGGCCCCTGGAGCAGTAGCACATCATCCCATCTAGTCTTTAAGAGAATCTGACTTGGGTGAGAGCTTCTCAGGTTTTGGTCCCTGCCACCATACACCAGTCTGCGCAGGGCAGTGTGGAAACAGCATAAAATGAACATTTGGAAGACCCGGGGGTTGACAGAATTGCAAGGGTGGAGGCAGGGGGTTGGGCACTTTCATGGCCGGAGGATTAACTGTGCTTAGAATTGTGACTTAACTCCTTTCTAGCCCCCCTTGAATCCCGCCAGCCCCTCTCCGTTATAAAGACTCCTTTACAATCTGCCTTTCACATCAACTGCTTGGTCATCACACAGCCTGGGAGCACCAGTTTCAGAGGCCTCAGTGGCGTCGGGAGAGCTGGGGAAGAAGATGATCCTGCCAAATCCCACGCTGAAGTCAATGGACTTAGGGACTTCATAAAGCCTCCAGAACAAGCGTGCTGCACTTAGTGGGGGATGACATTAGGTTAGATAACAGCACAGCTGACCATTTCTCTACGAAAAAGGAAAGCAGTAACAGCGCCAAGAAATTGCTCTCCCTTTGAGATTAATTTCTCCACACGTTACTGCACACAGATATTACAGAATGGATTTAGTCGAGAGGCACTGATGAACTATCTTGTAAATGGCAAAACAATGCTCGGCAGCGCAAGTTTAGTTAACTGCTTCCCTAAACCCCACTCTATTATATTCATGCATGCTAGAAGTGGCTCTACCTAACTACGTTTCCAAAGCATTTATCAAAGCATATGAGACCTAATGGCCATTCTATTTAATACGATGAACAGAGAAAGACTCTGATTTTAACTTTTTTTTTTTTTAGTGTGACAGTCAAAATACAGTCATTTCTGGAAGGTAAAAACTGAAAGCCTGTAATTCTTCACTGAATCAAAATTTCTAACATCAATGGATGTTTTCCTTGCTAACATAAAAGAAGAAATCTTGGAACTGTCTTTTTTTCATGCTTTGTAAAACGTGCTATGGAAGGAAAGATCATCTATGACAATCAGCCTACTAACAATCTCCTGAAGAAGAGAGCATCCCACGAGATCAGTGCTACATCTAGGTATTAGTGCCTCAGGGAACAAATAGCTTACTTGCCTCAGTGCGTGTATATATGTATGCATATCTTTCATTCCTCCTAGATGATCTGTTTTTGTACAAATAAAGAAAACCTTCACAACAGGACATATAAGAGTTGTCACCCTGTTAAATCCTTTCCTTTATCCCCCACTGCGACAGAAACAGGCAGGTTCTCACAAACCTCCCTTCTGCTCGTCAGACAGCGAAGCAGAATCTGTCTGCTTGACTACCGCAGGCAACGAATTAACCGAGGCACCGAGCCACGAGACTCCATGCCTGTTACCAGATTTCTCATCATTTCTAATCTAAACATTATTAACAAACATAAATCTACCCGATCATTCAGCTATAGTATTTGTCCCAGCCACCTTCCAGAGGAATGACTGCGCAAAATCTGTGTAATAGCAGTAATTTATTAATTAAGTTATTATCAGGTTACTATGATTAAGCAATTGAAATTATAAGTCGGATTCTGCCCTAAGCACGTTCAGGCAAATGCCCATCAATATACATAATTAAAAAATAATTACTTTTGTTCTTTCTTTCCCCCCCCCACCATAAAATGTTCTTTGGAGATATATTTGTTCTTTGGCAAGACAACAGAGCTGTATCTCCCTAGAACAAAGTGAGCTTTGCAGAATGT